GGACTTTAACACCACCCTCGAGGAACAGGACCGCTCAGGGGCCGAGCTGAGCCCGGCCGCTGCGAACATTCTCCGAGAAATAGTCGAACATCACTCCCTAGTAGATGTCTGGCGTGACCACCACCCAGATGACACTTCCACGTTCACCTTTGTCCGGGTGGAGGCCCATTGGTCACACCACTCTCGGTTGGACCGTATTTATTTATCCCGTTTCCATCTTTCACAGGCCCACTCCTCCAACATCCGGCCGGCCCCATTCTCTGACCATCATCTAGCCACCATAACAGCCTCCCTCCGTGCAGAGAGGCCGGGGCCGGCCTATTGGCACTTTAACAACAGCCTGTTGGAGGTTGAGGGCTTTGTGATGTCCTTCCGGGAGTTTTGGCTGGCCTGGCGAGAGCAGCGGCGTGCCTTTCCCTCGGCACAGCGATGGTGGGATTTAGGGAAGCTGCGCGCCAAGCTCTTCTGCCGTGACTACACCCGGGGCACCAGCCAATGGAGAAATGCAGCGATAGAGCAGTTGGAACGGGAGATCTTAGAGATGGAGAGGCGTCTAGCCGCCAGCCCCGAGGATCTGTTCCTCTGCAGAGCGTGCCGGGAGAAGCGGGAGGAGCTCCGGGCCCTCGAGGACCATCGGGCCCGAGGTGCCTTTGTTCGATCCCGCATCTGTCTCCTTCGGGAGATGGATCGCGGATCCCGTTTCTTCTATGCCCTGGAGAAAACAAGGGAGGCCAAGAAACACGTCACATGCCTTCTAGCAGAAGACGGCGCCCCCCTCACGGATCCGGTGGAGATGTGTGGGAGGGCCCGTGACTTCTACACAAGCCTTTTCTCCCCGGATCCGACTGATTCTGGCGCTTGCAGGGTACTCTGGGAGGAATTTCCCACGGTCAGCGTGGGCGACCGAAACCGACTAGAGCTGCCTCTCACCCTGGCCGAGTTCTCAGAAGCCCTCCATCGCATGCCCACCAATAAATCTCCGGGCATGGACGGGCTGACCATGGAGTTCTACCACGCGTTCTGAGACATTCTTGGCCCAGACCTAGCCACTGTGTGGGCTGAGTCTTTGCAGGGCGGGGTCCTCCCTCTTTCGTGCAGGCGAGCGGTGCTCGCCTTGTTGCCAAAGAAGGGGGACCTCCGCAATTTACGAAATTGGCGTCCCGTCTCGCTCCTTAGCACAGATTACAAAATTGTAGCGAAAGCAATCTCGCTGCGGCTAGGGTCCATGATGGCGGACGTGATCCACCCAGACCAGACCTATACTGTCCCGGGTCGCAGCATTTTTGACAACCTATTTCTAGTCCGAGATCTTTTGGAACTCGGGCGTAGAGATGGTCTGTCATTTGCCCTCCTGTCTCTTGATCAGGAGAAGGTGTTCGATAGAGTTGACCATGGGTACCTCCTGGGCACTCTGCAGGCATTTGGATTTGGACCTCAGTTTGTGAGTTTTCTCCAGGTGCTGTACGCTTCCACGGAGTGTCTGGTTAGGCTCAACTGGACCCTGACCGAACCGGTCAGCTTCGGGCGAGGTGTACGGCAGGGGTGCCCCCTCTCGGGCCAGCTGTACGCTCTGGAGATCGAGCCCTTCCTCTGTCTCCTCCGCAGGAGGTTGACGGGGTTGGTGCTGCAGGAGCTGGAGCTGCGGCTGGTCCTGTCAGTGTACACCGATGACGTGCTCCTCGTGGTCCAGGACCCGGGGGACTTGGCGCGGGTGGAGGCTTGCCAGGCCATCTATTCGGCAGCCTCCTCCGCCTGAGTCAACTGGGTCAAGAGCTCTGGCTTGGCGGTGGGGGACTGGCAGCAGATGAGCTCCCTCCCACTCGCGCTTCAGACCATCCGGTGGAGCACGGGTCCACTGCTCTACCTAGGAGTTTACCTTTCTGCCACGCACCCTTCTCCGCCGGAGAACTGGCAAAATTTAGAAGGTGGGGTGATAGAGCGGCTCCGGAAAAAGATGAGGCTATTCCAATGTCTCTCCCTCCAAGGGAGAGCACTGGTGCTTAACCAACTAGTCCTGTCCACGCTCTGGTACCGTCTCAACACCCTGGTCCCGGCCCCGGGTTTCCTGACCAACCTCCGGACATTGATTCTAGAGTTCTTTTGGTCAGGAATGCACTGGGCCCCTGTTGGGGTTCTTCATCTACCCCTGAAGGAAGGAGGGCAGGGTCTGAAGTGTCTGCACACTCAGGTTTGTGTCTTCCGCCTCCAGGCCCTGCAGAGGCTCCTTTATAATGCAGGTAGTTCGACGTGGAGCATATTGGCGCACGCCTTCCTGCGCCGCTTCCAAGGGCTCCGATACAACCGGCAGCTCTTTTATCTCTGTCTGAGAGGTTTTCCGCGAGACCTCTCCGGGCTGCCGGTCTTCTACCAGGACCTCCTCCGGACCTGGAAACTGTTTTCAATTACCAGGTCCGTGGCGGCCACTGTGGGAGCAGATCTCCTCGCGGAGCCCCTGCTACACAACCCCCAGCTCCGTGTGCAGGCAGCGGAGTCCCGTTCGGTGCGGCAGAGTTTGGTCCTGGTGGAAGTAACGAGAATCGGAGACCTCCTGGACTACGACTGGGGAGACTGGACTGGATCCCCTGATGCTCGCTGGGTGCATGGGGCTCTCCAGACTTCGTACCCCCCGACGTGTACTTCAGGAGATGAAGGCCGCCTTGACGCTCGCTGCTAGGGGTTATCTCAACCGAGCCCTACGTGAGGGCGCACCCCGCCCACCCTCTACCCCAGGCCCGCCGGATCTTTCAATTGGGCCCCTACCCCGTAGATTCCAACAAACCCCTCACCCTTTCACTGAGAGCCGGCTGCATGAACTGCAGCCGGTCAGCTTCCAAATCGTGCCACGGAAATATTTATACACACTCATGCTTCACACCCTCCACGCTCACACCCTGGTGTCCCGCCCGGATACAAAGTGGCGGGACCTCCTGCCACCTTTGGAGGGTGAGCAACCCCAGTGGGCCAGTCTGTATTCCACCTTGGTCGCAAGGCCCATCGGGGACATTAGTTGCCGGCTCCTTCACGGAGCTGTGAGTACGGGCATGTTTTTGACACGATTCACCCCCATCTCGGATACTTGCCCTTTTGCAATGTGAGGGAAACCCTGGCGCACGTATATTTAGAGTGTGCCAGGCTGCAGCCCCTTTTCCGGCTCCTCACGAATATTTTATTACGCTTTTGGCTACACTTTTCCCCTCACCTTTTTATTTACACACTCCCCATCCGTGGCCCCACAAAATCGCGAGATCTCCTGGTTAACCTCCTCCTAGCCCTAGCTAAAACAGCCATTTATAAAACCAGAGAGAGGCGGTTGGCTAATGAAGCGTCCTGCGATTGTAGGGCCATTTTCTGATCCTCAGTACATTCACGTATCCGGGCGGAGTTCCTCTGGGCGGCGTCCACCGACTCCCTTGACGCCTTCGAGGAGCGGTGGGCGCTGTCTGAGGTTCTCTGCTCGGTGACCCCATCCGGTTCCCTCCGTCTGACCCTTTGATTGAGGGGAAGAGCGAGAGACCCTAGCCCCAGCCGTTACCGCTGTAGATACCATCATTACTGTCACCTAGGAGGGGTCCTATCACACGTGGTGTACATCCCCGCCCACCCCCAACCCGCACACCCCACAGCTGTGCCCATCTTGTCGGGCACTCTCAGGAGAGGAATAATCGGTGACACTGGGCGTGGCACTAGGTAACTCGAGGGGGTGGAAGACCATGAGTGTCGAGGAAGCTCCCCTGCTCTAGGCCACCAGGTAACTCAGGAGGGTGGACGACCATGAGTGTCGAGGAAGCCCCCCCACTCTGGGCCCAGGCTAGCCTGAACACTTCTCCCTCCTGAAGGCTGCTGTGTTATACCTTGTGTTTGCTTTTGTTGCATAGTTTTGCTTTATCCTTTTTGGTGATTCCTTGTAAGTGTTGCACAAATAAAATTCTTTTCTGATTCAAAAAATAAATAAATAAATAACTCTCTTGTAGCCATCTGGCCCGACCCTGTCATATATATATCTTCCTACTGTATTTTCCACTGCATGCATCTGATGAAGTGGGTTTTAGCTCACAAAAGCATATGCCCAAATAAATGTGTTAGTCTCTAAGTACTAGTAAAAAAAAACAAAAAAACAAAAAAAAAACAAAAAAACAAAAAAAACACACTCTCCTGCTGCCCTCTGGCCGTGCTGTATCACAATACATTCTTGATATATAATTCATTACCTCCCTTTTTTTCCTCGCTGTCTTTCCTGAACAACCTATATCTTACTATACCAATATTCCAGTCATGAAATTTATCCCACCGAATATCAGTGATGTTAATTAGGCAATAACTTAACTTGTTTACTAAGATTTTCAGTTCTTCCTATTTATTCCACATACTCCTTGCATTGGTGTACCAACAGCTAAGAAGTTGAGCAGATTCCCCCACGGTATTCTCTCTTGTGGCTTCTATGACCCTATTGTATATTAATAAAAGGGGGAAAGAATGTCATGGTGATAAGATCAAATCACTCAGCTCAAATCCTTTCCCCACAGAAAGCAGCTCCCACTTTCTTTCTGTTGAAGTGCAGTAACAAGTCACTTGCCTCAACAAGCAAGCAGAGATCATTTAAACCTTTCCTAACAGCAGCAACATATGCCAACAGGGTGGCTATTTCAGAGATAGGCTGCCACCCTGTTACTTGGTTATTAAAGATAGGTGGGAACTTTTTGAAAGAGCATGGATGTTAATTCCTAGCTAAGTTTTAACTCTGATAATTACACCCAGCCTTCCTAAGATTCCACTTGTACTTTCAAGAGGACAAAGTTATTGTTTTTTACCTCCTGTTCTAAACTGTTATTGTTGCTGTTTAACAACTATTTATATTCCAAGAGTGCTTTCCATTGCATCAGACACCAAAACCACATATATTAATAGGTAGGCTTGCCCTGAAGAACTTATAGTCTAAAGAGACAGAATTTACAAAGGAGGGGCAGTGAGACAGATAAGGGAAGTGACTTGCCTGAGGTCACACAGCAGGTCATTGTCACAGCCACCAGAAGAATTATGTCTTCTAATTCCCAGGTAGTGTCCTTTCCAGAATGCCAAGTTTCATCCACAGGGTTGCTATATTTCCAGAGTTGGGAAAAAGCTTTTATATATTGTTAATCAAATGTATTGACATGCTTCTAAATAAAGACTGCTGTATAAATGAAGATTCTGTCATTAATAAAGTGCATAGGAGATGCTTATCTGCCACTTGTAAGGGGTAATTTAAAATAGGCTGTGCATAGATTGCATTTTAGACAATAGTCGGCAAAAGAACTGATTTTAAATATTTTATGTTGTCATGCATATTTAATATATGTGGAAAACATTTTATCTGCTATAACAAATAAATTGGTATCTTCTCCCTAAGGAATCATTCACTACATTTTTCCCTCTGCTTCTGTTTCCTGTCACACACACATCCATAAACACCACTTCACTCACTAGTCCCTAATTGCTCTGTACCTCTATGTATCAATTTAAGAACCTCCTCCAGACCACGGAAACCCATGGTTTTGACTTATTATTATGAATAGGAGGCAACAATCAGTCAGCAGGATCATGTTACCTGAGATGTGGGGAGGAAAAAAGAGGCAGCAGGGTCTCACAGCCTGATCTCAGCCTGTCTTGTAAAATTGGAGAGGTACAGAGAAGATACCCGGGACTCTCAGGTTTAGGCACAATTGAATCCAGATGGGAGCATCAAGAATGCCTATTAACATAAAAAAGGCATTCAGCCATTCAGGCATGATCAGCATTTTTCTCCTGCTTTGCATCAACTGAACAGCATGGGCATGAGCTTGAGTACCAAAAAAAAAACAAACAAACAAAAAAAAAAAACCAGGGGCAGGTTACAGATAGCAATGAAACTCAATTTAAGTTGATGAGTATTGTTTTCAATTAAAGCAAAACAAATGGGAGATAAGGGCACTTGCTTGTACCTGTTACCAGAACAAACATTTTTAGTGATGTGTATCCTCTCTCTTCACCCATTCAGCATTTTCTACCAGATGCCCAAATCTAGTTTTGCTTGCTTGTCTATGTTCAATCAGACCCTTAACATTAGTGGAAATGTATTTTTTAATCTGTGAATGTTCCATTAACATTATATTAATTGAGGAGTTATCATGGCATATCATTATGTTGATAGACTGGCAAGTGATCATGCTGCACTCAAGGGGCTGCTGAAGTTTGGCAGCTGAAATTTTCAGCTTTGTAGAGAAAGAGAAACTAGGTTTCCAAGAGTTATTAAGAACTAATGTTAGCAGAAATGAAGCTGTGGAGTAGCAGACTCAGAGGGAGACATATTTTAGCAATTGAGTTTTATGGAGTTAACCTAACCATTCGGACTAATGGTGGCTGAAGGGAAAGCCTATATTAGAGTCACTTTCTACTGTTACCCATTACTATTAGAGAGAACTTGGTATGGGGAAGATTAAAAACAACATTGTGTGTGTTTGGTAAGTGAGTTAATCTAAGGATTATTAGTTAATCTAAGGATCTATGGGTCTAGGGTTATGGGGGCCTGGGTAACTGATACTTTCATATTGTCTCTGGTGACCTGGGCAAACTGTGACATTATTAACATAATCTGTAACTGTATAGATCATTGTTGCAACCACTGTTATATATTTGCAGCAAATATTGTATAAAGGTTGTTGTGTAAGGGGTCTATGGAGAGGTTATGGTTTGCTGGTTATGATTATGCTGTCTATATGTGGGTATCATTTTTGTAGTTGAAGTTATGAATATTGGCTCTACACTGTCTGTATTTCAAACTTATGCTATGCTTCTGGGTGACACCCCAGACAAGTTAGTGTCAGCTCTGCCTAGCCTGCTTGATGGCCCATTAAGGACCATCAGCTATACAATTGACCCATTGAGAGAAGGCAGATACGCCTTGTGACTTAGCAAAGTATGCAGGGACTTGCCCATGTGACTCCAAACTCCATTTTGCTGTAATTTTCCACAGCAAGAACAAAGAGGTGTTCTTACACCTGGAAAAGACTATAAAAGGCTGATGCCTCATCTCCATGTTGTCTTCAATCCTGCTTCTTACCTCTGGAGGAACTTTGCTACACTGAAGCTTTGAACCAAGGACTGAAAGACCCATCCCAGCTGTGGATGTACTCCAGAGACTTGATTTGAACCTGCAGTTTATTCTATCACTGCTACAAGCCTGAACCAAGAACTTTGCCATTACTGTATGTAATTGATTCCATTTAACCAATTCTAGCTCTCATCTATATCTTTTTTTCCTTTTATGAATAAACCTTTAGATTTTAGATTCTAAAGGATTGGCAACAGCGTGGTTTGTGGGTAAGATCTGATTTGTATGTTGACCTGGGTCTGGGGCTTGGTCCTTTGGGATCAAGAGGACCTTTTTTCTTTTACTGGGGTATTGGTTTTCATAACCATTTGTCCCCATAACGAGTGGCACTGGTGGTGATACTGGGAAACTGAAGTGTCTAAGGGAATTGCTAGTGTGACTTGTGGCTAGCCAGTGGGGTAAAACCAAAGTCTTCTCTGTTTGGCTGGTTTGATTTGCCTTCGTGTGCATAGAAACCCCAGCCTTGGGCTGTAATTGCCTGGCTTTAAGCAATTTGTCCTGAATTGGCACTCTCAGTTGGGTCCCGCCAGAACCAGCATCTTTACAGTGGCGTAGTTGGAAACCTGCACCCAACAGTTACTGGAGGCTAGGCACTGCAGGATGTAATGCCTGAAGAGGCCGGAGCAACAGAACCCTGAAGGTGCCTAACTAAGAAGCCTCTTGGGAAGGCTCTTGGCTTCTTGATATCCCAATCTGACCTTGAGCATCAAACTTCATCATGTAACTCCAAAACACATAGTAGTCTTGCCAATTGTAGATCGACTATCTAACATAGCACACTTCATCCTTCATACAGCCTGCCTTCTGCTGAGGTGACAGCAAGCTCTTGGTAGCTAACATCTCCATGCTCAGGGACTCCTGGATTAAATAATCTCTAACTGGGGCCACAGATAATTTCTTACTTTCAGTGCAAGATTCTCTAGTTGCTGGATGTCCCCATGTCCACTTCCACAACACATCACCATCAGACAGATGGACAGTCAAAAAGAATAAAACAAGTACTAGAACAGTATATACACTGTTTTGTCAATTACCACCGGGATAACTGTTCCACCCTCTTGCCTCATCCTGCATTTGAATATAATAATCCTGACCACAACTTCACAGGACATTGTCCCTTCTTTGCAAACTATGGATTCCATCCCTGCTTCCACCCAGAGTTACCAGCAGATTCACTGAACTCAACAGCCATCAACTGGATCCATCGGATTCACAACATTCAATAGGAACTCACGAGCCACCTGCAGGATGTGAAAAAGGCCTATAAGGAGTTCATGGACTGGCAACACTGGGAATGCCCAGCTTTTTCACTGGGCCAAAAGGTCTGGCTTACTCTGAAACAGCTCCCTGCAAGTTGGACCACCAGTTTCTCTGCCGTTTCTCCATCTGTCAGCAGATCATCCCTATTACCTTCAAACTGCAACTCCCTCAAAATACATCCGGCGTTTCATGTGTCACTTTTGAAGCCTTGTACGGAGGATCCGTTCCCCAACCGATCCCAACAGCTAAGTCAAGATTCAGGGACATGAGGAACACACAGTGCATGCTATTCTTGATTCCAAACTGCAACAAGGCCAACTCTACTACCTCATTACTAGCAGGCCTACTGCCCCAAGGAATGCTCCTAGAAACCCACTGCCCATGTTCACATCCCTGACCTAGTTAAAAGGTTCCACAGGGAACATCCTAACAAACCCACCCTGATGCCACCTCAGAGGGAGCATGTATGAAGGATGGTGGGGAGGGGCTATGAGTTTCCAAAGGGTCTTGAACTTGATTGTGGGGTCCTGGGCAACCAATGCCTCCACACCACCACTGAGGAGCAAGACAAAACAGAGCTGAAAAATTTACTGGAAGGTTAGGCACCACAGGAAGTACTACCTGAAAAGGCCAGATCAACAGAACTATGCAGCTGACTGACTGACTGGTCCCCACCAACTATTTAAAAGATGAAATTGCCCCAGGGAGCTGTCTGAGCAACAACGCAGACTCTGGCTTGACCTTGATACCCATGTCCTGACTGGGCTTGGTAATGAGTCTCAACCCCTACCTTCAGCTCCAGCCCAGCATATACTACAGGCCTGGCCACCTATGCCCTGGCCATTATGGGTAGCCTCTATAGAATTACGTGCACTTATTTGCCTAGTATTGTTTGTTATGGTTCAAACCTGCACTACACAACTTCCCTCCAGGTGATTGCTACTAGAGCTGACCAGAAGATGAAAATCCTTTGCCAGGAAAAATTTCTCCCTGCAGGCAGAATGTGAAATTGAAAAAGAGCTTTCCCAGTGGCTGCCAGAAGCTGACCACGCAAGCTGTTTGCCTCTCCAGCTCTCCACCTCCTACCCAGCCCAGCTGTTAGAGAGGCAGGAGGTTTGCCTTCCTCTCAGCTTGGCTGCTGGAGAGTTGCGGCCCTCAGAATATTTAATATTCATGGAATTTTGCTATTACTGATTTTGCAAAAAGGTCATTTTCCACCAGAAAATTATTCCAATGGAAAATTCTCACTCAGCTACTTTTCCTTGCTGTATTCTATTACTGATGCCACCTCAGTGATATTCCTAGTAATATTTTACACTAGATTACTTCACAAATACATAGTTAATTCTGTACCTAAGACACAAGTTTATTTAATATAAACTCTTTGTGCATCAATTAACATATTATATATTACATTGAAAAAGCCTGTGTTAAAAGAATATTACATTTGCAAAATAAAGCATTCAAAAGTTAAGACATGTCAGAATTAAGGTTACTTGGGCAACAGTAATTCAGCCTCTGTGTTTGTGTATTATGATGCAATCTTTAATTACATAATGCATACTTTTTTTTTTTAGACACAGGACCCCTGCCTCATACAATGCACAGGATGTACAGTTCTCACTTAATGAGCTGCTATTCAATATTTCTTTTTATTCTAATCATTTGAGGCATGTCCATGCATTATTTACTGCATACTATTCAACCCGTGATCTGAATACAGAATTATTAATTTCCTCATGGGCTTTTCTGAGGTTCTGTCATCTCACCATAGTCTTAGTGTCTTAGTTCTTCACAAACTTTAAATAATTGTATCTTCACAATGCCCCCGTAAGGTGAGGTGGCATTATTATCGCCAATTTACAGATGGAGAACTGAGACACAAAGATTAAAGCCTTAATTGTGAAGAGTGTCAACTAATTGTGTTCAGAGTAGCAGCCGTGTTAGTCTGTATTAGCAAAAAGAAAAGGAGTACCTGTGGCACCTTAGAGACTAACAAATTTATTTGAGCATAAGCTTTCATGAGCTACAGCTCACTTCATCGGATGCATACTGTGGAAAATACAGAAGATGTTTATATACATACAAAAATGTCAGGTTTCAGAGTAGCAACCGTATTAGTCTGTATTCACAAAAAGAAAAGGAGTACTTGTGGCACTTAGAGACTAAAATTTATTTGAGCATAAGCTTTCAGATGAAGTGAGCTGTAGCTCATGAAAGCTTATTCTCAAATAAATTTGTTAGTCTCTAAGGTGCCACAAGTACTCCTTTTCTTTTAACTAATTGTGTGTGTCCAATTTGAGAAACCTAGGCCCTGATTTAATCAGAGTACTTAGTTTTTTATATGTTTAGAGCAGAGCTTCCATTGACATCAGTTATAGTTATGATTGTTCAGCATTTCTGCAAATCAGACTCCAGGTGTCCCAAGTTGGGCACCCAGAAAACAACAAACAAATGCAGTAACCACCTATGGAAAGTTTAATTGGGGTAACTTGACTAGCTCACATAGGAAGTCTGTGGCAGAGACAGGGATAGACTTCAATTCTCCAAGGCAGCATTCAACTGCCTTAACACACAAGACTGTTCTTTATCTTCCTGCAGTCCCCCTGCCACATTATCTACATACCTTCCAACTTCTGCAACAAAGAAGGGGCCGTACAGACAACTGTCTCATTCACTACACAAGCCTGATTCATTTCCAGAGAAGTCTATCCTGTGCACTAAATGTGGCGGGGTCCTGTGGAACCAGTAGTATGTGATCATGTAATGGAAGATTATACCATAATGCATATACACAAGGGGTCTGAATTCAGGTTGCTCAAGCATTTCCTAGCTTTTGAGTGTCTCACTTTGCAACATTAATATTCTTTATTTTTTTTTATTTTGGGGGTGGGGTTGGTATGTAATTTCCATATTTTGTTAAAAAGGCAACATTTTTAAAAGAACTCTAAAGAACCATATTGACACACACACACACACACACACACACCGCCCCCAAGGGTCTTTAGCAGGGTTAAGCTCTCTAGCTCCACAGCACACTCGTCTATCACTTGAACCTTAGGAGGCTGAAGTCTTTTACATGGGCCTGCAGGTAGAGACCCCCCTCCCTTGGGACTGTCATCTGATGTGCTGGAACTACCTCTGAGCCCGTTTTCTTTGATAGCGTGGGACTCCAGAACCCTGCCTTGTTAAGCCAGAGACGCTAGCCTGCTGCAACACAGACCCAGGATCTGAACCATGACCCCAAAGCTGCAGACTTAACTGAAAACAGCTCAGCAAGTACTCCTGTCTCCAGCACCCAGACACCTAGCTCCCAATGGGATCCAAACCCCCAATAAATCCATTTTACTCTGTATAAAGCTTATACAGAGTAAACTCATAAATTGTCCACCCTCTATAACACTGATAGAGAGATATGCATAGCTGTTTGCTCCCCCAAGTATTAATCACTTACTCTGGGTTAATTAATAAACAAAAGTGATTTTATTAAGTATAAAAAGTAGGATTTAAGTGGTTTCAAGTAATAGCAGACAGAACAAAGTAGGTCACTGTCAAGGTTCCTTCCCCACTCTGAACTCTAGGGAACAGATGTGGGGACCTACATGAAAACCTCCTAAGCTTACTTTTACCAGCTTAGGTTAAAACTTCCCCAAGGTACAAACTATTTTACCCTTTGCCCTTCGACTTCCACTGCCACCAACAAACTTTATCTGGGTTCCTGAAAAAACGGAGTTTGGAAACGTCTTTCCCCCCCAAATCCTCCCAACCCTTGCACCCCACTTCCTGGGAAAGGTTTGGTAAAAATCCTCACCAATTTGCTTAGGTGAGCACAGACCCAAACCCTTGGATCTTAGAACAATGAAAAGGCACTCAGTTTCCTTACAAGAAGACTTTTAATAGAAGTAAAAAAGAATCACCTCTGTAAAATCAGGATGGTAAGTACCTTACAGGGTAATTAGATTCAAAACATAGAGAATCCCTCTAGGCAAAACCTTAAGGGACACACAGACAGGAATATTCATTCTATTCAGCACAGCTATTTTCTCAGCCATTTAAAGAAATCATAATATAACACATATGCTAGATTACTCACTAAGTTCTAAGACTCCATTCCTGTTCTGTCCCCGGCAAAAGCATCACACAGACAGACACAAACCCTTTGTTTTTCTCCCTCCTCCCAGCTTTTGAAAGTATTTTGTCTCCTCATTGGTCATTTTGGTCAGGTGCCAGCGAGGTTACCTTTAGCTTCTTAACCCTTTACAGATGAGAGGAGTTTTCCTCTGGCCAGGAGGGATTTTAAAGGGGTTTACCCTTCCCTTTACATTTATGACAGTCACCAAGCAAAATAAAGCAAAAACACACAAGTCTAAGCCTAGTACATTGAGAAACTGATTACAGATATCTCACCTTCAGATATGTTCCAATAAGCTTCTTTCACAGACTAGACTCCTTCCTTGTATGGACCCAATCCATTGCCTGGTGCAGTCCTTGTTAGTTCCAGCTCAAGTGGTAATAGGGGATTTCTCATAACTGGCAGCCTCCTTTGTTCTGTTCCACCCCCTTTTATAGCTTTGGCACAAGGCGGGAATCTTTTGTCTCTCTGGGTCCCCACCACTCCTTCTAAATGGAAAAGCACCAGGTTTAACATGGATTCCAGTACCAGGTGACATGATCACATGTCATTGTAAGACCTCATTTTCCATTCTTTTATGGCTGGCCTGCATATACCCAGGAAGGTTTGCAAATAAACAGAGCCATTCACAACCAATTGTCCTAGTAAATGGGAACCTTCAAGATTCCAAGCCAACATTAATGGCCCACACTTTGCATAGTTACAATAGGACTTCAGAGTAATACTTCATATTTCTAGCTTCAGATACAAGAATGATACATTCATACAAATAGGATGAGCACACTCAGTAGATTATAAGCTTTGTAATGATACCTTACAAGAGACCTTTTGCATAAAGCATATTCCAGTTACATTATATTTACACTCATAAGCATATTTCCATAAACATATGGAGTGCAACATCACAAACTAACTTTGCTACCATGTTTCACAGTTATCTGCTACATAGCCAAGGAATTCTGAGAGACCAGCCTTCTGAGTTCACTTCCAGGTTGTGGAGGGGAGTGTGTCTAGAAGTTACCCACTAGAGCTTGTTAAAACTCATAATTTCCTTTTTGGCAGGAAATTATGAAAAAAATAAGTAGAAATCTCTAAGATTTCCACAAAAAGAAAATTCTCCAAAAAACTTGTTTTGAGAAAGCAGGCAGTTCTGGGAGCTGGGGAGCCGTGGCTCCATGACAGCCTGCCAGGCAGACTGCTGTGAAAGCAGGTGAACTGGCAGGAAACCAGGGAGGTCTCCTACAGTTTTAACACATCTGCCAGGCAAGATTCCAATGGAAACCTGCCTAGTTACCATCAGAAATCATCAAAATTGACACATTCTTGTAGAACATTTTGATTTTAACAAATTGGCATTTTCCAAAGGAAAAAATGTTCCATCAGAAAGTTTCTGACCATCTCTCTTACTGATCCTTCTGCCACTATTCCCCTTGTATTTTTCTGTCCTCTTCTGCTCCTTTGCCACTGACCCCAGCTCCTACTCCTTTCCCCTCCACTGCTGCTATCCCCACCCCGAAAAGCCTGCCATTGCCCCTCTCCCAGCTCTGGTCATGTGTCCATTTATTCTTATCCTTCCCTTCATGGTGTCTACATATATTTCCATAGTTTCTCAGAAGTTGCTGAAGCATTTTAGCATAAACTTTAAAAATAAAAGACAAAAAATAAAAGAGAAATCAGCCTGAGACACTCTTCGTGGAAAGCTTTAGTTTGAACAGGGTCTTGTAATGGGAAGTGTTAGGCAACCATAATTACTGTGTCACTTATAATGCATAGATAGGCAGCTTTCTTGGGGTAGGAGCAAGTAAGCTAGCTTTTCAAAAATAGAGTCTCGCAATCTGATTGAATTTAACACCTTGGTCGCCGGTCTCCCAGCACCATATAGTACCTTCCCACTTTTAAAATCACTTCACCATTGGTAAAAGACTGTTGCTGCCACATTGACAATAGATACGTGCCCTGGATTCTCTCTCATCATGTTACAAGTGCTCAGTTTGAAAAATACAGCTCTCTAAACTCTGCAGACTGTCTGCTATCAGAGAAAAACAAAGCAACCTGGTGAGCACAAATCAATAGAAAAAAGTAAGTGAAGAATGATATGAAAAGTGTAATAAATGGTGGTATTCTGGAGGATATAGAGTGCCTTTTAATAATGATGGGATGACAGCGACCATCTTAAGGCTCTGGTCCAGCAGAGACTTAGGCATATGTCTAATTTTATGTCCCACTATTATCAATTGAACACAGAGCATGTAAAATGAAACATGCAGGATGGGGGCCTAAATTTGTCTCTCTACAGAAAAAAATAGTGCAGAATGTCTGCAGATGATATACAGCTGATGTGCCCTAGTGGACAGCCGAGTTAAATTCCAAATTTAAACAATGGTGATGATGAAGGCACCTCTTCCACCATCATTCCCCTGGGAAAAGAATGGGCAATTTGTACTGAAATGAATAAAATGACATTGCCATTTAAAGACCCAATTTCCTAACTGCAGGAGATTCTGGTACATGCAAATATGCTAATCTGCTGGACTCTGTGGAGTTTCAAAGCCTCCCAGCTCCTGGAGTGAGAGAAGGAAGTTCCTTGGAGTGGTAAAAAAAGTTACTAAAATAGAGAGGAAGGAGCAAGATTATTTATTCAGAAAATAAATAAAATAGCAAACAAGAGAACTGCAAACTAAGGGCCCTGACCTGAAGCCCATTTCAAATCAGTAGGAGTCCTTACAGTGACTTAACAGGCTTTGGATCAGGCTTGGATGTAAAAAGCTAAAACTGATCCAAAGCCTGATCTACTGAAATGAATGAGAATCTTTTCCTTGGCTTTCTCTAGGCTTAGGATCAGCGCCAGAAAGAAGCAATGTTGTGAGTGGGTGTGTGCTTCTAACATTCTGATGAAGACATTGTTAATGATTTGTTCATTTGTCATCAACATTAACAACATTTCCTGTTATAGCTGCTATCATGATGATACTTTTTTAAAACAGTGTGGAACAGCGCAGCTCCTACACCAGACCTTTTGAATATTTCATAGCTGCAAATGTCATATGGAGAACTGTAACATATCCATTCTGACCTGGACACCAAGCTCAAATTTTCATCCTTTTACTTATTTTGACCTGTAACAAAATCACCTGTCCTGTAATACAGCCCCAGACACTCAGACAAAATTTACATTTACAACAGAATATCAAATTTAAATTGCTAGCCCACCCACGATCAGCCGGATAACACAGCTCAGACAGTCTGACAGGAAAAATATCCCAGCCTCCCGACCAACCCTCTCCAAAATTCTGGATCACTGCCTTATATGGAGCACCAATAAATGTGGGCTGTTTCAGACTAAGGAAGGAAGGAGGATGAATTCCAAAGCAGAAGATCTTTCTCAACAAACACGCTTCTATCAGCCCCCTCTCTACCTCAATAGCCCTGGCACTTTCTCTAATTGCAACTGACACAATATCACAGAGAGAGAGAGAGAGTTTCTCAGGGATGCAGATCCCCACCCATTTTTTAATCTGGACTGATGTAGACACACAGACAAGGAACAAAAACATATGTAGATGTTGTGCAAGTGTGAGTCACATTTTGCTCCAAAACTGAGAGATTCTAGTTTAGCAGAAACAAAGAAGAGGTGGAAACAGCATCAGAGGGTGTGGCTGGCTGAAAGAGGCTAAATGAACATTGTGAACGTGATGCTGTGTAAAATTAGAGTCTTCGTGACAGGCTGTCCTATGGTCCATGTAGTGATTGAATCAATATAGGCACACTTACTCTCTGCTCCAGATTCATATATGAGAAGACTAGAAATCATAGCAAGAGAATTGCAAGAGCCAAATGCAGTTACTGAAGACCACAAGGTACCAACAGAATGTTGGTGTATTTGACAATTATTTGGGCACCTTCACTGATGTGGAAAGACCACTCTACTTAGCCAGAAGTAGTGTAGCATTCTGGCAGTGTGGTAAGAAAAGGGACGCATTCAAAGTGCTTTCAGTCAGAAATGGGAGGGAGATGGGGAGGGGAGAAGCATCTGCCAGTGTGATCTGGCAAGGAAAAGTCTTGCATTTCTTGTCAGGTAGGCAGGGAGAAGAGAGAGAAAATAATCCAGAATATGCTATCATGCACATTTGCATTATGCCAGGGCACTTGCAGGCATGCTGAGTGAGTCCATTGCTAGCAGAGCAATCACTTGAGATGTAAATGGCTACAGGAACTGCAATACCACTTGTATAAATTGCAGAGTATCATAACAAACCCAGTCATCTTCCCCTGCAATATACCCAAATTGTATTGTGGTCTTTTACAGATTAACCAATGATATAATGTGGTTGAACTTTGGACATTTAGCATGAACTCCATGGAAAAACTATGTCATTGCTTGTGGTTTTCAGTGTAGTTGTAGCAGTGTTGGTCACAGGATATTAGAGAGACAATGTAGGTGAGGTAATATTTTTTATGGACCAACTTATGTTGGTGAAAGAGACAAGCTTGCAAGTTTACATTGAGCTTTTCAGGTCTTAAATGTAGTGAGAGTTATTATAAATGGATGGGCTGTTAGTGGCTTGAAAAGATGCAGCAGAACTGGCCAGAAATTCACATAATGACACAAGGAGAAACAGACCTGCGTGGAATATTCCTGGAGAACCGGGCAGCATGAAAGACACCACTGCAAAGCTAGCCGCTATTATGCTGGGCAGCGAGCCCAAATACCGCAAGGCAAGAAGAGTACCATATCCCATCAGAACAGAAGCCTGAGGCAGATTTTGAACATCTAGTCAAGGCCCAAGTTCTGTTATACAAAGTAAGTGAAGATCTGTCACGGAGTCCAGGTTAAAGGATGGAATCATCAGAATTCTTGGAGAATTCAAACTGACATAAAATGTAGTGTTGTAGGTAGAAAAATATCTACTTCTTTGTAGTGAAGAATTCTTTTGATTCCATGCTAAGGAAGCAAAGTGCAGCAACACTGGTTTATGGATATATTATCCTTACTAGCAGCAGAATCAGCGGAGGAAAGTCCCCACTAGTGGATTTAACAGTTGTGACGCCAAAAGAATTGTACCAATATCAGTGTTTGCTTTTTGGCATAAGGTTAATACTAGGCTTGTTCCAGACAGCTGCCAGGCATATTTTGAGTAGACTGCCAGGAGCACAATTCCGCTTATCAAGAATTAGAATACTTTTTCCCTCTTTAAAATAGGGATCCTAACTACCATCGACATTACGTTACTCATTTGACTGTGGTACTGAAGCCACAACTTCATCTTCTGAACTTGGACAGATGAAAACTGCTTTTTTTTTTCAATTAAGGATTTTGCGGTAGCCTTAGAGGCATTAACACGCTTTTATCTTGATTCACCAGGGTGGGGACATGAGAGTAGATGTACAATTTGAGGTCACTTGTACAAAACTAGCGGCTGAACTCTTCTGCCCTAATTCTCCTCCCACTGACATTATTGGGAAACTCGCAGTTTACT